TAACTTGCCCAGGGTCATACAGCTGGAGAGTGTCAAATGGTCTGTTTTGAAACTCACTGCTGCTGGAGAAGTGGAGAACCTTCCTTATGTTGCACAACAGGTGAACTCTGGATTTGGGCGGGGTACTTTGCTCACGGGGTCCGGAAGACTAGCAATGGGGTAATTCTTTTCCTGGGGGCGGGGGGAGGTGGTGGTGGTTTCTTTGCACTGTTCAGGAAAGGGATCGAGAGAAGTGGCGGTGGCATCTGGAGGATTAGGGAGGGCAGATGATGTTGAAGATGATCCTTGATTTGGGTTTCACGAGACTGAGATACGGAGCATTTCAGGCAAAAAGGGATTCTAGGGTGAGGAGGCCATTTTACTTCGAATGCAGGAGTTGTTCTGGGATGCAGTGGGAGGCAAGATTAATGAGATAGAATGGGGGTAGTAATAATATTTAATAATATTCAATAATAGTAAGAGCAGCTAATACTTTTTGAGTGCTTATCACACAACACAGGCCAGCTGCATCTCTAGGTACGGATTAACTGACTTAATCCTCCTCATGAGCCTGTTATCATCCCATTTTCCGGATGAAAAAGGTCACAGGCAGCAGCAGAGCCAGGGTTCGGCCCCAGGCATCGTGAACACAGAGACCTTCCTCTAGGTGGCCTGAGCTGGGTTCCGCTCACAGTGGGGCTCTGAGCCCAGCAGTCTGGGGTGCTGGCTGGGAGCAGGGAGGCTAGTCTGCGGGTTTACGCAAGAGTTGAGGTATGAGAAGATAAGGATCGGAACTGCGTTAATAGGTCTGCTTCTGGCAAACTGTCTGCTCGTTGGGCCATGAGTCTGTTTTAATGAAGCAAGTCAGGGAGCTCTCTGCCTGGACACACACTGACTTTTTTGTTCCTTGAGTAGCCTCAGATTCTGGAATCCCTCGCAGGCCTGGAGAGGTCGGGGGTTCACTTCCCTGGCGCACCCACGCCACGCAGGACATCTCACTTCCTTGTCTTGTGTGTCCATCAGTCTGGTCTTCCAGCCTCTCATCAGCACCCAGCATGGTGCCAAGCACGTCGTAGGTCCCCAGCAAAGGCTTCGAGGACGGGAACTGATGGGAATAAACTGAGCGACGTTGATATATATATATATATATTTTTTTTTTTTTTGCAACGTTGATATCTTAGGAGATGGAAAGGCTGTCTGTGTAGGTCATGCATGGCCTCCGACCTCAGGGGCCCTCTGACCCTTTGGGATTGAAAGGCCATGGCTGGAAATGAACGGCGGGTTACATGGCGAAGCCGGCAAAGCCAGGCACAGGGTTCCGGGCGCGGGTTCCCTGTTACGGCGCTCACGCTCTCCTGAGGGGCAGAGCCGTCTGTCTGTCCAGGGCCTGTCGGCTTCCTGGCCGTGGCTTCCTGTCCTCAGTGGCTCTGGAGTCAGACAGCCTAAGTCTCATTTGTGTTTCCCACATGAAAGTCCCGGAGCATCTGTGAGTTATGATTTGTGAAGTATCTGTTTTAAAGCAGAATGCATTTATCATCGCGCTGGCCCAGAGGACACCAAGCAGCCCAGGAATGAGAGGATCCCAGGCCCCAGCATAGGAGAGGCTCAGCCAGATGACCCACCCGTGAGTAGAGTCTGGCTGTATTGATAAAATTCTCTGGAAACGGCCCAGGAGCAGCCAGATGTTGACTTCCCGGTGCAGGGGGATGGGGTGGGGTTGGGGCTCTTGGTAAACTCTTAACCGGCGTTTTAGAATGGGGATGGGCAGTCCCACTCCTAGGCCTGCCCAGGAGCAGGGCAAACACACGTCCACACAGAAACGGGCCCACAGATGTTCCTAGTGCCATTGTTCCTAAGAGCCCCTAAGTGAGAGCAACCCATATGTCCGTCAACTGACGAATGGATAAATAAAATGTGGTATGTTCATTTTATTTACAGAATATTACATATGATCCTTCCCATATTTTGTTTATGGAATATTTATGGGTTATTATTCTGCGGTAAAAAGGAACGCAGAACAGACACGTGCTACGACATGGATGAGTCTTGAAAACATTATGCTAAGTGAATGAAGCCAGTCACAACAGATCATATATTGTATGATCCCATTTCTGTGAAATGTCCAAAATAGGCAAAGCCGTGGAGACAGAAACTGGATGAGTGGTTGCCTAGGGCTCGAGTGGGTTGGAAGTAAATGGGGAGTAGCTGCTAATGGGTGTGGGGTTTCTTTTTGGAGTGATGAAAATGTTCTAAAATTGATTGTGGTGATGGTTGCACAACTCTGTGAATATACTGGAAGTCCCTGAATTGTACATTTTTTAAATGGGTGAATTTTGTGATACAGAAATTGTATCTCAATAAAGCTATTAGTTAAAAAAACAAAAACAAACAAACAAGCCCAAACCAACCCAACAAAACAAGCCGGGGCTCGGGGTAGTGGGGAGAATGGGGATGGGAGTGTTAGGCTGTATCTGTCAGGCCCTGAAGATTCTAGTCTGTGAGTCTGGGAACTCTCACACTCATTTTGTGTCAGAAGTGGAAAGCAGTGTCCTGTGTGCTGTGGTCAGGAAAGCACCCGGAGCCACAAGGCCCGAGTGCATGTTCCATCCCACTGCTGACAATCGTGGGACCTTGGGCTGCTTCCTAATCCCCTTTAAACCTGTTTTCTCACCTGGGGCTTGTAATAGTTCTTATCTTCTAGACTGTTGAGAAGATTCAATGAGCCGATGTGATTTGGCTGAGCCTTTAGCCCTGTACCTGACACACAGTAGATGCATATTCAGTGCTTCTGGGGCTGTTGTGGTATAAAAGGTACATTTGTCTGAATGAGTAAACGGCTTCCCTCTAGGTGGATGAATTTGAAAAGGCTCCCCTCCTGGCTGGAAGTAGCCCCCAGACTGGTGGCCTTGGGAGAACTGGTCTCCATTCACTTGTCTCTCCACAGGGTGCCTGTGTGTACATGGTCTGCAGGCCCCTACCTGGCAGCCCTGGTCAGGGCCTTCATCATTCTTATCAGCTAGCACTCATCACTGCTCTGTGGCTGAATAGTGATATTCAGACACAACATACTAAAAACACACGATAAAGACACAACATATGTTGAGGGTTGGCGTACTTTCTTTTCCTTTTAATCTAGCAGTAAACCAGATGTAGTGAATGAGTGCTTCCTAAGTGCTCAGGACTCTTGGCAATTTCAGAGAATATGACAAGTCCTGCACCAAGATACTGAGAGTTTAGTTGGGACATGTGAGTCATACATCTGGAATAATCTGGGAACAATGCAAGGTAGTACCTAAACTAGGTGTAGAGGAAGAAGTCATGGCTGTAGGATCAGAAGGACTTGGGTTCACATTCATCCCTGCTACTCGGCGGCTAGATGATCCTGGGCAAGCCGCATGTTTTCTTTGAGCTTCTGTTTCCTTATCTAGGAAGTGTGGCTACCAGCCTCCTACCAGGTAGGATTGCCAGGAGAAACAGGATTTGGAAGCTTCTGACACAGAGCCTGGTGACTAGCAGGCTCTTGAAAACCAGGGCTGGGGGATCCCTGGGTGGCGCAGCGGTTTGGCGCCTGCCTTTGGCCCAGGGCGCGATCCTGGAGACCCGGGATCGAGTCCCACGTCGGGCTCCCGGTGCATGGAGCTTGCTTCTCCCTCTGCCTGTGTCTCTGCCTCTCTCTCTCTGTGCGTGTGTGTGACTATCATAAATAAAAAAAAAAAAAAAAAGAAAACCAGGGCTGGTATTCTTATTTATTTTGGTGAGAAGCCCCAGCATAGAGTACTTAGTGGTCTTTTTCTCCCAAATCATGGCTTTCCTTGCTTAAAACCCTGCCATGGGTTGCATGGTAACCAAATTTGGAATTTGCTGTGTCCTTCAAGGCCTCTACCAGTGTCTAAACTCCCACTTCCTTATTCCCCTGTCTCAGCCCTTTGTCCGTTTCCTTCAGAACATGTCAACTGTGCAGCTTTGATGGTTTCTCTCTATACCCACCCCTTTCTTCCCCTGTTGGAAGGGAAGCAGGGGTGCTGTCCTATCCCTCAGTGCTCTCTGGCCTGTGGCCTGGTGCCTGCCTATAGTAGGTGCTCAGTAAGTATGAACGAATGAGTGAATGAATGAATGAGAGAGAAGTGCAGCAGCAATCCTGAGAGGGGGAGCTCTGTGACTAGGGGAGGCTGCAGGAAAGGCCCCTTGAGTCCCCACCTCCTTCCCTTTCTGAATACCCCCCACTTCACACCACTGTGTAGATGGTGTGGAGAGCCCAACATTGTTTTTTTTTGTTTTTTTTTTTTAATTTTTAAAGGATTTCATTCATTTATTTGAGAGAGAGTGAGCAGGAGGGAGAGGGAGAAAGAGAATCCGAAGTAGATCCGCGTCCGTGCCAAGCACTCCCAATGTGGGGCTCGCTTCCACAATCGCGGGATCATACCTGAGCTGAACCCAAGACAAGAGTCGGACGCTTCACCAACTGAGCCGCCCAGGCGCCCCGACATCCCACCACTATTAGCTGCAACTCTGCACCGCTGCCAGAGGGTGGGGGAACTGGTTTCCCACCCTGGGCAGCTGCTCCCGGAGGCCTCCGTGGGCTGTTCCCATACTTTGACATCTTCCCTAGGAGACCCCAGCCCCCCAGGAAGAAGATGGCCCCCTGGCCATCAGCTCTGCAGTGTAGACAAGCTTTAGATGCAAAGTATGTTTGCAAGATTTACAAAACATTTTCTCCCTGGGTTGTAAATCAAGTACTTTAAGAATTGTAAACCGGCTGGAGTGCAGAGTTAATGTATGTCTGGAAAAAACAGCATCATGACTGCCTCTTCAAGAAAAGAATTCGTATCGCTTACTTTCATTAGAGATACCGAGACAGCGAGAGGTTTCGGGGGAAGGTGTCCCCTTCCCTGGGGGGGGGGGGGGGGACGGCAGTGTTCAAGTGGCTTGGGGCCGAGGGCAATTTCCCAGCGAAGAGGAGGGACTTGCCTCTTTGTCCTAGAATGTCCTAGGGCCTCGTCTCCTCCCCATTCCCTCTGCTTGTGTGAAGCTCCTCATTATCCTTGTGGCTCCAAAGCTGCAAAGACAGCTGATGGCTGCAGGTTAGGTGTCTTTGCTGGCTCTTGTCATGTCATCATGCATTGGGCTCCACTCAGGTAGGATTCACAGGGATCCTCTCACGTCTTTGCAGGATGGTGGAAGGGAAGTGATGATCCAACCTGTGGATCTGAAATGGAGCATGAGGGTGGGTTCTGAGCCTGGCCTCTGTGCCAGGCTCCCTGGGTTTGAAAATGCCCTCGAACCTCCTGTATAAGCTTGAGATGACCAGCCTGACTCAGTTTCTTCATCTGTGAAATAGAAGTGGCTGTGAGGATAAATGAGGTGTGTATCAAGGTCTTAGAGAAGTGTGTGGTCCACAGCGAATGCTCCTTAAGTGTTATTGTTGGAAGGAGCCCCCCTGGGAAAGGCAGGACAGCAGCATGGCTACACTTATACCACAGGCAGCCTGGGTGCTGGGCATCATATGTCGGGGGAACCCAGTGTCAAGCCCCCTCTCTTCACCTGTAAATCTAGGGGCTGACACAGACTGTTCCTCAAGCTCTGAGAAGAGAATCCTGGGATTCACTGAATGAAATTGGTGAAATGTAGGTTTCATTTCCTGCTGCTTGGTCTTTGGCAGAAGGGCTCTTGTGGGGGAAGGGAAGTTATCTTCATTTCTCTAAACTCATTTAAACCGCTGGGTGGCTCAGCAGTTCGGTGCCTGCCTTAGGCCCAGGGCGCTATCCTGGAGACCTAGGATCGAGTCCCATGTCGGGCTCCCTGCACGGAGCCTGCTTCTCCCTCTGCCTGTGTCTCTGCCCCCCCCCCCCCGTCTCTCATGAATAAATAAAATATTAAAAAAACAAACTCATTTTAGATTGTGTTGTGCAGGTTTGACAAGTGTAAGGAGAGTCTCCCAGTGTTTGGAGGGTCAGCGCGCACTGGGGAGGCCTTACCTTCCTGGCTCTCCGGTGCCCTCTGGTCCCCACTCTCCTTTAGCGCAGGGTGGGCAGGGCTTTCTTTAAGCATGTCTGTGAGGTGGATTCTGCCCTAGATTCTATGTGAGATAGAAAATTCTCACTTTCAAAGAACCTATTGGTTTTCTCATGTGTAAAATGGGACGGCGATACTAGAATGTGTGTCCTGGGTGGTCCTGTGGATTCAGAGATGGTGCTGAGAGCAGCTCCTGATGCATAGCCAACCCTCGATAAATGTTAGCTGCTATCATTTGGGGTTTGAAGGAGGGCAAGATCTCATACTGTTGGGTGGCTTGGAGGAATCATTGCTTCTCCCTATTTAGAGTTTAGTAGGGCTTTTGGTTGGTCCTGGTGAGGCTGGAGCCCGTGGCTGCCTCTGCTCTTGGTTATGTATGCCTGTGGGTTTCCCCAGAGACAACGTTTTTTTTTTTTTTCCTCCCCGTGGCTTTGGTAGTGGTGGGAACATTCATTGTCCAGGGAGGGCTGCTTCATCCTGGTGGGACAGGTGGGGTGGAGGCAGGACTCAAGAGTTGAGGAAAAGACTAAGGAAGACTACTTCTTCCCAGGGTAAGAGAGGTCTTTGGCAGCTTCACTTAAAAGGAAGACTTGACTCATGTGTTTATGACTATTTTATCTTTAAAGATGAAGTCAGTTGATCAGTCGATCAATCACACTCCTCTTCATGGAGCACTTTATATCTGCCAGGCCTTGGGGGCCTGCATCGCCTCACTGACGTCCTTGTGGTCCTTAGACCTATTCTATGAGGTGATGCTAAGCTCTTCCTGCTTCACTACAGAGGGAACTGAGGCCCAGGGCCACCTTCTTTATCACTTGGGGAAGATGGAAGGAATGAACCTTGTGTCTGTCCCAGCTCTCCACTGTGAGCCTAGACAGCTTCCCAAGAAGGACTAGAAATACCTGCTGTCCTGTTTTCTTGTGGCAGGTGTTCCTTCTGCCTCTTCCAGGTAACATTGAAAACCATTCAGATAGTTGATGAGCTCCTCCTGTGTTCCAGGCACCATGCTAGACACTGGGGAGGAGATAAGGAGAAAGATACAACCTCTGTCCTGAGAGAGCTCAACTACCTCTTGGTTCTAGAACTTACAGTTATTTCAGATCCCGATTTTTTAAAAAAGATTTTATTTATTTACTTCAGAGAGAGAGAGACTGAGAACGAGTAGGATGAGGGGCAGAGGGCGAAGCAAGCTCTCCACTGGGCAGGGTGTCTGATGCGAGGCTCAATCCCAGGATTCCTGGATCATGACCCGAGCCGAAGGCAGATGCTTAAGTGACTAAGCCACCTAGGCGCCCCTCGGATCCTGATTTTTGTGGTCCACATTTACCCTTCTTAGCTGGGAGACCAGTCCCCTGCCGGGGTGGGGGGGGAGGTGTTGCTTTAATCTCTCAGAATTCCATCCCTTGGCCTTCAGTACATCCATCATGCGGCCTTGACTTTCTCAGCATCACTTTACAAAGATGCCGACAAACTTTAAGGAACTCTCAGTGGTCCCAGATGCCACTTAATTACCTTGTAATGGTTCTTGGTAGATTTGAAAGTGAACTTTTCCTTCAACTAGCAGGAGTAGCGGGAGGGAAGAAGCTCGCCCTCCATGGGTCCGGTGGGCTCCAAGCTCAGCATGTGAATGTGTCAGATACAAAGGCAAGGTGGGATGTGCTCACTCTAGGGAGAACCTTACCTTGCGTCTTCCTCATGGTCAGATGATATCTGTTTCCCAGGCAGAATCAGGTGGGATGTTCAGGGAGGGAACTGGTGTGTGGAGGGGCGTGCGAGCAGCTGATAGCAGAAATCCTGGAGAGCAGAGGAATTAAGTGGAAATCTCCCCTGAGTCCTGTCCACCTGCTTGCGTGTGTAAGAGGCTCCAGAGCAGAGGAAAGGTCCCTTCTCTAACAGTCTTCATGGCAGGAAACATGTATTGAGTGACGAGTGTATGCCCGGTGCTGTACTGAGTACTGCACACACCTTCTCTCCCTCTCTCCTGTATAATTTAGGGCCGGGCTGTCTGACTTTAGGGTCACGGTCATAACCACTGGGTTCCCTAGCCTTTCTTGGATCCGGGACCTTGGAAGCTTCCACAGCCACCTGCTTTGGTTTTTTACCTACACACTGGATGGTAGATACGCCCCGAACCCTGACTTAAAGCTCAGAGAAGTTGTCTCCAAGCTTGTGACAATGATAATTGGAAGAACTTTGCTCCATAATCTCAGTTATTCTGCATCTTACTCATATGTCCTTCCAGTGCCTAGTTCAGGGCCTGGAACACAATAAGAATACAGTCAATACTTGCTGAATGGCCTTGGAGCATTATGTGTTACATAATGGTGTCGGGAAACTTGAGGTCAGTCCCATCATTGCCACAACTTGAGCTGCATGAACCTGGGGCAAGATCCATCCCTTCTAGAGCTTCACCAAACTCATCTGTAAACGAGAACCCAGGGACAGACTTTTGTGTCAGGGTTCATTATTCACTCAACAAATATTTGTTGAGGGCCAGCTGTGTGTCAAAAACTGCTCTGCTCTGGGTAAAAGGGGCAAGTGACAGTCTGACGGTGGGCTTCCTGCCCTCCCATAGCCCCTACTCCAGGCTCACGAGAACCTGCATGGGCGAGTCTTCATGTCTTGTCCTCACATTGCTCTGAAGTGCCAGTCACTGAATCTTTCCTTGTTTGTGTCCTTTCACCTGAATGTATGCTTCCACCAGGGCAGGGATTTTCATCAGTTCTGCTTACAGATGCATCCCGAATGCCTAGTCCCCACTGCCTGGTGAATAAACTCTGGCGACACGCATGCCCGCATGCCTGGACAAATGACTCGGATATCCCTCTTGCTCATGAAGTCTCTGGATGTGAAAGTCCTGGGGCTCAAATCCAAGAAGAAAATGAAGGAGCAAAAGGACAGATTTCCAGGAAAAAAACTGACTTTACAAAAGCAAGATGCAGTCAGGATTGGGTAGGAAGGTTTGTTATCCCCACTAGCTGTGGGATTAGGGAGTCAGGCAAGATTCCTCCAATTTGTCATCTGGTGATGCTTTTTGCAAACCACAGAGAAAACAAAACAAAAACAAAAACTCTCTCCTTCCTCTCCTCCCTCACCCCCTCCCCTGCTCATTCCTTCTTTATTTCAAGCAGAAAAAGCACTTGCTTCTTAAAACAGCTCATGAAGGAAAAAATTATAACAAATATCTTGCATTTCTCTGGTGGCGGCACAGTCTGAATTCCTTTCAGCCCCACAATGAGTTCTAATTTTATGAAATGTTTGGATTAGCCACCAATTTTCCAGTGGAATTTAGAAGGCTTGTATTCATACTTACGCTTGAAGCAGAGAAATCTCATAAAATCCGTGCAGTGTCTTGGGCCCAGGGGGACATTCTAGCCAAGGACAGAATGACCAACCATCCACAGAGTGGCGGGGCTGAAAGAGATCTCCTCAGGCAGCTGTGGGCAGGCTCTGCGAGCAGCAGTGTGTTCCCGAACTGCAGGCTCTGAGGCTTGGCCGGGCTGCATACCTCTTCCAACTGATCATGGGCTATAAAAATTCCAGCCCAAGTACAATGCTTGTACCTGACCTTGTTCTTTCAATTCTTGGAGCCAGAGAACATCAGGGCATCTGGTAATTGGGTGAGAGGCATTTGATAACACATGGTCCTCTAAGCACCCCTACCCCCTGCTCCCGTAGTACATATTGCCTGTGTTATCATTTCCCGTTTACATTTCTTAACTCTGCCTCTAGACCTGCACTGTCTAATAAGGACATGTGCGGCTATTAAAATTAATTACAATTAAAATGAAAACTTCAGTTCCTCGGTTACACTAGCCTCATTTTAAGTGCCTGGTAACTCCTTGTGGCTGGTGGCCACCATTGGACAGTGCCAGAAAGGTCTTTTCCAGCATCATAGTCATGCTAAAGAATAGTGCCTTTGCTTTGCTTTATTAGCTCCGTATTCGGCACTTGTCACTATCTGTAATTAGCAACACCATCCACCATTGTTTCTGTATCTTGTGTCTAGAATGCTGCCTGGCATGTTGTAAGCACCCAATAAAGGTTTTCAGAATGAATGAATGAAGTCTGATCAGCATTGCTTTGCCATATGCCTTATGCACTCTCTAGTGGGCCTTCAACAAATTAAATGAACACTTAAGAGAATTATAACCATTGCATGGATTCACCTGATGTTCATTGAGCACCTGCTGTGTGTCAGGCATGGTGCAAGGCTCTGGAGGATACAGACACGGATCCCCTAGCTTAACCAAGCCAACAGTTCTTAGATTTGTGGGGACCTGTGACTCTCCTGGGTGTGCCTGTCAAAATGCATCATCTTGGCATATATCCCAGAGTCTGATCCAGCAGGGCTGGGGTGGGACTTAGGGGACTTGGGAATCTGCAGCATTTTAACCAAGCAACTCATGTAAATGTAATGGGGTTGGCCCATGGTCTGCACTTTGAAAAACACAGCTCTGGGGCGTCTGGGTGGCAGTCAGGTAAGCTTCTGATGCTTACGTCATGAGATAGACACCTTTGTCAGGCTCCGTGCTCAGTGGGGAGTCTGCTTAAGATTCTCTGTCCCTCTCCATTTGCCCCCTACTTCCATGTGTGCTCTCTTTCTCAAATAAGTAAAAAAACTTAAGAAAAAAGAAAAACAGAGCTCTGGACCATGGGAGGCCAGTTGCTGTACTCTTCTGGGGATATAACACCCTACTTTCTTCATTCCACACTTTCTCATGTGATAACAAGAGGGGCCTCAGATGTTGGGGTTCTTATAATGGGCCTGACACTTGAGGTCTCTTTGCCTGATACCTTCCCAAGGAGTAATAATGATTGCAAACAATTACATAGCAGTGATTATACCTGGTCATAGGCTAAGCATGTTAAATCAGTGGCCTAAATTGATCCTGGTGGTAACCCTAAGAAGTACACACCACAACTATTCCCAACTTAGATAGACTGAAGCACAGAAGATTAAATCACTTGCCCGCATCTGCAGTACTCATAGGTGGAATTCAAACCCTGAAATGTGGTGACACTGCTGCCTCTTGAATGTTGGATGGACCTTTATGTCTTTTCTGCCAGTTGCATGGAATCAAAGTTCAGGTGTGTTTATGAAATGCCCGGTTAGGGGATCAACACGGGTGGACATTAGGAGTCCTGGCCTTAGGGAGCATAATTAACTCACTCATTTGGCAGACATACCCTCGGGCCCTGTCTGTGCCAGTCCTGTTCAGGGCCGCCAGGTGTAAGAGATTTGCACTTGGCCTAATGGGGGCGATGAGGGATGGGCAGGGGCTTCCTGAGAGAGTGTCAAACCCACGATAGGTTTTCTTCTGGACAGAAAAAGCAAAGCAAATCTTAGAAACCAGGCATTCCCTCATTTTGCTGCTTGTGACTATTTTTTACAGTTTACTGTAGAACATGCCCATTTCACCCAGTAGGGGTTCTGTGTGCATGAGTGTGTGCATGTGTGTGTGAGGGTGTGTGTGTGAGAATGTGAATTTGATACGTGAATGTGAATTTGGTGGGCTCCAACATATGGAAAGACGTGCCTTTCTCCCCACCTTTTTTAACCACTTAGCAATTCAGGAAACCCCTTAGGGTTGGGAGTGGCTGGGGATTCCCGACCCACTTGCTAGCTTTGAAAGAAGGAGAAAGGTGCATACTTATACCGGGGACTCCGAGTGTGCCTTCTGCAAGACACACTTAAGGAGGCAGCTGACTTGTGTCCTCTCATTTCACAGCAGCTTTGTAATGGGGTGACCATTAACCACCACTTTGCAGTTAAAGAAGTTGGTGCTCAGAAAGAGCAGCTGATCTTCCTGCGGGGTCAAGGTCACACTTGCACTGACTCTGGTCCATCCGTCCATCTGACCCCGCCGAGGGCACTTTCCTACGATTCTTGGTTCTGGCTGAGCATTAGAAAAACCTTTTAAAAACTCTCTGGGGCTGGGCCCCAGGCAGCAGTGCTGTTAACCAGTCCCCTGTGTCACCTTTGTACCCTGAGTTGACAGCCCCTGGCTGGTGGAGTCTGCCCTCTTGAATATGCCATTGATGCCTGGCCAGGTGGGGACCTTACCCTCGGGAAGGCCAGCCCCCTCTCCCCTGCCTTGCCCCTGGGATGCTTGCATTCTCCAGGGAAGACTGGTGCGTCCAAAGCCATCCCCCTGGACCTGGGCCGGGACCTTTTGCTCCTGTTGCATCAGAGGCTGCCCGTAAATCGGCAGCTGGCTTGTTTTTTTTTTTTTTTGAGGCCCCAGTTGTAGCGACCTTTGTGTGTCTGTTTATTTCAGGGAAATAATTCCATCCTGCAAAATCAATTCCCTGGGGGCTGCAGAAGTACATTTGGAGGGACTTCTTTTAGTCGGGTGACCTGAAATGTCCTCTCGGAAGAGGCCACAGCTGCTCCCCTGCTCCCAACCCCTTCTTGCTCTGCCCTCTGACACTGTCCTCTCGACCTCTCAAGATTTTGAAGGTCTCATTGGAGTCGTTTTCTTACATGTATCCCTGCATAAGGGCACTTTGTTAAGTATAATCGTAAAAGCATTTCAGAGCATTCAGCATTGTCGGGCCTTCTACGGAGTGTTCTTTGCATGTTATCCTCCTACATTTTGCCTTTGCTTGGCAGTGAGAGAGTAAAGACAAGTCTGAAAGCTGGGGCTTTTCATCCTTGGGGCGGAAGGGCCTATGATTTGTCACGACTCACTGGCCATGTTGGAGGATGAGGGATTCCAGGGACTGTGGAGGCTGCAATTTTGGGGCCGTTGACTGGCTGGGATGACGATGGCTAGATGGGTAGTTGGCTGATTGAACAAGAAGGGTCTAGGGAAAGCAGAGAGTAGCCATGCAGCCCCGAGTGTTTAACCTGCCACGAGCTTCAGTCAGAGAAATGGAGAATACTGCTTAATGTGATGCCCTGGGTAAGTGGATCTGCTAAGTTATAACAGAAATTCTAAGTATGTTTTTCCAGGTAGTTATAGCTTATCCATTTAAGAGCCAACCTTTTTTAAAAAGTGATAGTTATTTATTAGGGAAATATTTTCCAAATGTACGTATACTTTCTTATAACAAAGTACTTGAAAGTTAGACCTTTTTTTTTTTTTTTAAAGATTTTATTTATTCATGAGAGACACACAGAGAGAGGCAGAGACACAGGCAGCCGGAGAAGAAGGCTCCCAAGAGGAGCCTGATACAGGACTCGATCCCAGGACCCAAGGATCACAACCTGACCCAAAGGTAGACGCTCAATCACTGAGCCACTCAGGTGCCCGTTAGACCTTTCCTTGATGCCTTTGGGGGAACTTCTCCTTACTGGTCCTTAGAACTTTATTTTGGGGTTCTCATGTCTGCTGTTTGTCTGTTTTCTCCCTCATCAACTTTCATTCCTCTCTGTGATCTTTCAAATGATAGAATTTTTCTTTCCCTATAGCAAAAATAATGCCTGCCCAATACTAAAAACTCACAAGACACAGAAGTTCAAGATGAAAGGTAGAGGTAGGTGTCAGTCCTGGTTCTGTCAGTGAGGATCCTTCTGATGGCTTTCTACATCCATTTTTCCATTTCCACAAAGATATGCTGTGACCAAGCTTATTATAAATATTAGTAGGAAAATTGTAGGTTGCCATCTGTGGGGGCTCAGCACATGGATTCAATGACATTTCTTGGGTGGCTTTTCTAAGGGTTTATTTCCCATCCTCGCATAATCCTCACAGCTGAAAGAGCCCTGACAGTGAATCTGGTGAACTTCTGTTTTCTCATGTGACAGGATGAGCCATGTGAGGGGAGGAGGGCTGGCCGGGTCACCCAGGGAGTAGGTGGCCCAGCTGGGTCCAGTACATTTTCCATTTCACCGTCTCTTACCTGGGTTTTAGAGTGTGGGATAAGGGCTAAGTGGCATTGGGACAAAGGGGATATTGCTATATTTGAATGACTAAAACCAGGAAAAACCTACCTTTAAGTTTGCTCAAATGACAGATTTTTAACCTTCTTTCCGGTGGAAGTAAGAAGGAGGACATGGTCTCCTGTTCCGCATGCCGGGCCCACTCTGTGTTTGAACATCAGTCTTAGATTAGTACGGAGATGGACTGAGAAACACACTTGAAAGGAACTTGCATTATTAGCCATACATAGCTTACATTTTATGACCTGCTTAAAGATGCAGGGAGCATAAATCTTGGGGGAAGACTGTCTTATTTACTTGATCGTCTTTTCTGCAGATGGGATGCTTGCATCAGAGCCGGGCTGGCTTCAGATGTCTGATCCAGGACATTTTAGCTGAACTGTATGAGTCCATTAAACAAATGTAAGGGTTTTTGGGAAAGCAGGGCTGTGTCTCAAACCAAATGTTTTACATAGAGAACATCTGGGGACTATTGGTATTTGTGTGTACAGTACATCAGAAAGCAGCTTGGTGGGGCTCAGCTGGGATGTTTCTGGCCTGTGGTTGCTGGATTTGACAGTTTTGTTGTAAGGGAATGGTTCTTATGAAGTGTTGCCATATAGGCAGGGCTAGATTCAGGAAGGGGTGCCTTTGGTTAGCTGCACAGTCAAATTGTTCTGATTAACTCCCCAGCCCGATCGTCCACGGAATTTGAACAGTCTGCTATCTGAGCTGGTCTCCCCCCAGGCCTAACCTCCCAAGAAAGGAAGCA